AAGAAGGCTCTCGATAAATTCGTCGGTTCCAACGTCATTGAGATGGTCATAACCGATGAGCGATGTGAGACCTCACCCGCACCTCATTTTTCATAGAGTTTCTTTTTACTAAGGTCACAGTGACAACGACGACATCTTACAAGAATGCATTGACGATAAGCGTGGTGACTTCCAGTCCGCAGCTAATCGTGTCGGTGGAGGCTTCACCCTCGCCTTCCTACTGCTTATAAGCTGGATCGTAGGCCTGAGTCCTGCGGCCAGCTGTCCATAATCGTCACTCTGTTGTAGATTGTTCTGCCCTGTTTCTTGTGCCGCTGTTGGAGGAAGGCCTGTTGTTGGTTCTGTCTCGGCGAGTCCAAGCATGGTCTCCGCACACCTAAGCAGACGATTCGATTCGCCTTCATCATCATCGGTCTGCTCCTCGCACTAGGCCTCCTCATCGCTGGCTCGGTCGCCATCGCCTTGCAGGACACTATGAGCAGCGGTGCCGACGGAACCTTCTGTGAGGTGTATAAGCTTGCTAACAACTCTCTCAATGGTTACCCTGGCGGAGTAAGTCGTCATCACTGGTGCTCCTCATACTGCTGTGTCTCTATTAGGAGTCTACTATGGCGAATGATGATCCCTTTATTGGCCTCATTCCTATGATAGACTCGGTCAAGGACATCGTCGAGGAGGTGAACCCTAATGGCAATGGAGAGCTCATGCCCGGCGTCGAGAACATCCTACAACAGACCCGCACACTGGAGTTAGTTACCTCTTCCGTATAGTCCCGACGTATCTGCTTCCTCTGTCAGCCGCGCTGTCGCTGATCTTACTGGTTCGTTGGAGAACATGCTCGCAACTTTGGGGAAACCGGAGAACATTCGCGTCGGCGAATACACCTGCGTCTTCTGTGATGCATGCTGCGGGGGGCCGAACCCTCTAGTCGCACAAGTGAGCATTCACCCCACGTAACATATCTTCAGGAATCCTGTTTAAGGTCCTGGATGAGCTCAAGGGAAGTGCCGCCGGAGCACTCAACGAAGCCCGAGATAGGGTACGGTCGCTGTCGGCGATATTGAGGAAGTATGCCTGCTCTTTTAGGTTCGACAAGAGCTCTACGGTCAGAATCTCGCCACCCTTTATGAGGAGGCTTCGTCGGCTATACAGCCACTTGACGAATTCCGTGACGTGTTTGAGGATAATATCGGTGACGCACTCATCAACAACGAGCAGGACATACGCGATGTGAGCTCATCGAGACGGAGTGTCAGTGCGACGTGTTAATAGGTGTTGGACATTATCAGCTCTGCCACTCTCGGCTGGGCTGCCGGAGTCTTCCTCCCCATACTGGCCTTCATCCTCGTCATTATTGCAGGCTGCTTCAGGTCAGCCGCGCTAGCTCTTT